TTAGATTGGCTATATTTATTAAATATTTGGCTTTACCTGGTAGATTCATTTTCTCATACTCTTTAATTTCTGCTTATGGCCTTTTCTGCTTAAAGAAGACTCTTCAATATTTATTGTAAAACTGGTTTAATGATGATGAACTCCTTTAATTTTTGCTTGTCTGGGAAACTCTTTACCTCTCCTTTAAATCTGAATGATAACTTTGCTGGGTAACTTAATCTAACAGGGGTCTTCAAACTACGGCCCGCGGGCCACATGCGGCCCGCAGAGGAGTCTGATCCGGCCCGCCAGGTTTTTTGGGCAGTGAGCGCAGCCGAGGTGTTACAGTAGGAATTAGTAGTTCATATAGTCCGGCCCTCCAGCTCTCTGAGGGACCGTGATCTGGCCCCCACTTTAAAAAGTTTGAGGACCCCTGAATCAATTCCTGTTTTGCAACATTTTAAAGATGTCCTTCCACTCCCTTCCCACCTGTAAAGTTGCTGCTGAGAAATCAGCTGATAGCCATATGGGGTTTCCTTTGTTTGTAACTCATTTTTCTTCTGCTTCCTTTAAGATTCTCATTGTCTTTAACTTTTATCATTTAATAACAATATGACTCGATGTGGGTCTATTTGGGTCATCTTGCTTAGAACCCTATGTGCTTCCTTGACCTGGAAGTCTGTTTTTTTCCCCCCCAGGTTAGGAGAGTTTTGAGCCATTATTTCTGTAAATAAGGTTTCTATTCCTTCCCTCTTTTTCTCCTAGGATCCTTATAATGGGAGTTGCTGAGCACTGGAAATTATCCCAAAAGTCCCTTATACTATCCTTGTGTTTTATAATTTTTTATTTTTTGTTGTTCTGACTTATAAATTTCCACTATTCTCTCTTCTAGGTCATTGATCTTTTTTTCTATATCATGTAATCTGCTGTTGGTTCCTTCATGGTTTTTTTTTTATGCCAATTATATTCTTCAGGTCTGCCTATTTATCATATCTTCTCTTTGTAAAAGTTCCCCCTGAGTTCCTTTATTCCACACACAAGTTTGGTGAGCGTCCTTATGACCATTTTAAAAAAATTCTTTATAAGGCAAATTACTTGTCTTCATTTCCTTAGAGCTTTTTTTTCCTGGGGAATTTTCTTTTTCCTTTATTTGAGAGAGATTCTGTTTGTCATTTTGACTTTCCATGTTTGTTTATATGAATTAGACACAATAGCTATTTCTTCCAGTCTTGAAAAAGTGGCTTTATGTAGAAATGGCCTCTGTTTAGGATCTGTGTGCTGGGTGGTTTTGGCAGGCAAGTAGGGTGCTGAGTTAGGTGCTAAAGTTTCCAGGTCACTGGTCTACCAAGTTGGAGATGCTCTGGGTGGGGAGGTCAAATGCAGCAGGTATTGATGCCCTGTTGATCCTGCTTGTTCCCTCATTCAGGGGCAAAATAGGTTTGGATGATGTGTTTGGGAATGTGCTGCAGTGACCTTGCAGATATGCCAAAGCACCTGGGTAGAGCCCCTGCCTGCCCTATGGAAGGGAGACATAAACAATGTCGCTTACTGGCACTTCCGACCCAGAGGGTTCCTGTGGCTCCCCAGCCTTCTTTGTAAGTCTCTCATGTTGTTTGGTGTAGATTAGAATGATATCAGTGTAGGCTTTATTGCCAGGTAGTTTTTAAGAAGCTGGTTGGAGTGGGTCAGGTACATGCAGCACTGGGAGTATTGGCTTGAGAGGTTGGAGGCCTCCCTGCAGAGAAGCCAGAAGGTACATGTGATGCTGATATCCCTGTTAGCTTCCTTTATTTGGAAGCAAACAGCCCTGGATAATATAGCTGGGAACTCACTGTGGTGATCTTGCAGGTAAGCCCAAGCACCCAAGTAAAGCCCCTGCTCACCCTGTTGAAGTGGAGGGGACGTAAACAATGGCGCTCACCAGCTCCTCCAGCTCAGACAGTTCCCTCAGCTCCCAGAGGGCTCCTGTGGTTTCCCAGTCTTCCCTATTCATCTATCTTTGCTCATTGTTCAGAAGCTGTCCATTTAGCCCTCAGTTGTCATGCAGGAGTAATTGCTCATTATATATGCATCTATTTGAGTTTGCTCATGGGAGGGGGTGGGTTCAGCATCCTCTAATGCCACCACCATTTTGGACCTCTCCCAGACGCATCTTTTAAAAGCATTAGTCATGTTCAAAACTCTACAATGACCTCTATCTTCTTTTTTCTTTATTGATTAAGGTATTACATATGTGTCCTTATCCTCCCATTGCCTCCCCCCCCCCCACTCTTGTTCTCACCCCACTGGTGTTTGTGTCCATTGGTTAGGTTTATATGTACGCATACAGGTCCTTTGGTTGATCTCTCCTCCTTACCCCCACCATCCCCTACCTTCTCTCTGAGGTTTGACGGTCTGATTGATGCTTCTATGTCTTTGGATCTGTTTTTGTTCATCAGTTTATGTTGTTCATTACTTTCCACAAATGAGTGAGATCATGTGATACTTATCTTTTTCTGACTGGCTTATTTTGCTTAGCATAATGCTCTCCAGTTCTATACATGCTATTGCAAATGGTAAGAATTACTTTTTTACCGCAGTGTAGCATTCCATTGTGTAGATGTACCACAGTTTTTTAATCCACTCATCTGCTGATGGGCAATTGGGCTGTTTCCACAGTTTAGCTATTGCAAATTGTGCTGCTATGAACATAGGGGCGCATATATCCTTTCTGATTGGTGATGGTTTATATTCCTAGAAGTGAGATCACTGGGTCAAATGGGAGTTCCATTTTTAGTTTTTTGAGGAAACTCCATACTGTTCTCTATAGTGGCTGCACAGTCTGCATTCCCACCAGCAGTGCATGAGGGTTCCTTTTTCCTTGCCAGCACTTGTTATTTGTTGATTTATTGATAATAGCCATTCTGGCAGGTGTTAGATGATACCGCATTGTTGTTTTGATTTGCATCTCTCAGATGATTAGTAACTTTGAACATGTTTTCATGTGTCTCTTGGCTTTCCTTCTGTCTTCTTTTGAAAAGTATCTATTTAGATCTGTTGCCCATTTTTTGATTCGATTGTTTATCTTCCTTTTGTTAAGTTGTGGCATTCCCTATAAATGTTGGAGATTAAACCCTTATTGGTGATAACATTGGCAAATATGTTCTCCCATGCATTGGGCTTTCTTGTTTTGTTGATGGTTTCTTTTGCTGTACAGAAGCTTTTTATTTTGATGTAGTCCCATATGTTTGTTTTCTCTTTGGTTTCCATTCCCTTAAGAGCTGTATCAGTGAAAATATTGCTTCAGTATATGTCTGAAATTTTGCTGCTTGTGGATTCCTCTAAGATTTTATGTTTCCTATCTTATGTTTAAGTCCTGTATCCATTTTGAGTTTATTTTTGTGTATGGTGTAAATTGATGGTCTAGTTTAATTTTTTTTTGCATGTATCCAATTTTCCCAACATCATTTATTGAAGAGACTGTCTTGACTCCATTGTATGTTCTTGCCTCCTTTGTCAAATATTGAGCATAGTGGTTTGGGTCGATTTCTTGGTTCTCTATTCTATTCCATTGGTCTATATGTCTGTTCTTGTGCCAGTACCAGGCAGTTTTGAGAACAGTGGCTTTGTAATACAGCTTGATATCTGGTATTGAGACCCACCTACTTTGTTCTTCTTTCTCAGGATTGCTGCAGCTATTTGGAGTCTTTTTTTATTCCAGATGAATTTTTGGAGAGTTTGTTCTAGGACTGTGAAATATGCCATTGGTAATTTTAATGGGGAGTGCATTGAGTCTGTAGGTTGCTTTGGGTAGTATGGACATTTTAATGATGTATATTCTACCAATCCTATAGTTTTCTGAGTACAGGTCTTTTACCTCCTTAGTTTATTCCTAGGTATCTTAATTTTTTTGGTGTGATGGTAAATGAGTTTTTTTTTTGTTTGTTTGTTTTTTAATCTCTCTGTAAGTTCACTATTGGTGTATAAAAATGCCATAGACTTCTTGGCATTAATTTTGTATCCTACTATATTGCCATATTCATTTGTTAAGTCTAATAATTTTTGTATGGAGTTTTGAGGGTTTTCTATGTACAGTATCATGTCATCTGCGAATAATGACAGTTTTACGTTTTCTTTTCCAATTTGGATACCTTTTATTTCTTCTTCTTGTCTCATTGCTATGGCTAGCACTTCCAGAACTATGTCGAACAGGAGTGGTGAAAATGGGCAGATGACTTCTAACTTATTTAATAGCCATTCCTACCTGTAACTAGGATCTCAACTGCCCCTGACTACCCCTGAAATTATGTAGTCTATACTTCACCTTGCTCACTTAGCTGCAACCATGCAGTCTTTTTTTTTTCTCCCTCCTTGTTAGAGCATGCCAGCCACACCCTCACCTGAGGGTCTTACACTTGCTAGTTTCTGCCCAGGGCATTCTTCCTCATCACCTCCCAGGGAGGCCTGTCTTTGCCTCTGTATCTAAATAGTTTTTATTTTCCCACTACTACTTCTTTGTCTATTTACCCTGCTTTTGTTTGTTTTTGCACTGAGCACATTACCTGAAACTTTCTGTTTACTTGCTTTCCCAACAGTAAAAGAGCAGGGCCTTTGTCCACCAATCTATCTCCAGACCCAGGACTATGCCTAGCAGGCACTCAAATACTTGCTGAATAGAAGATGGCTGGTAGCAGGGACCGTTTCTGCACATAGGGACTTAGCCTTCTACATATATTGATGCTGTACTTTTATTACTTAGAGACCCTGAAATATGGCGTTTGGCCTGCTTGAAAGTTTGGGGCAGAAGCTGTATTAAACTTGTTCCATACACATCCTGGAGAGAGATGTTTCTAGAAAGGCCCCGTGTTCGGTTTGATGGTAAGTTGAACCCTTTAGAACTCAAGAGAAATAGAGATTTATCATGTTGATTTTGATAAATACCCATTCTTAGTTTTCTCTAACAGACCTAAGTATTATGAGCATATTTAAAGGAAACTACAATGAAAATGAAGCTAGAACTGTCCTATATGATTTTAATTTTAAAAATGTTTAAATTTATTCTTATTTGTTTAAAAAATGTGTTTTGTTTTGTTTTTTTATAGGAGTGTATATCAGTAAAACCACATATATTCGTCAAGGGGAACAGTCTCTTGATGGTTTCTATAGAGCCTGGCACCAAGTGGAATATTACAGGTACAACTGTAGTAAACTGAGTGAGTGAAAAATTCTCTCTCTCCAAGTATTCATTAATTAGTTATTGGACATCTCTTCTCTGTAGCTTTTGCATTTATCCACAAATGGCCCTCAATATTTTTATCCACTCTTATAATAAGAATTGTACTCAGCCGAAACTGGTTTGGCTCAGTGGATAGAGCCTCTAGTGTAACATATAAAAATCTCCTCTCTCCTTAATATAAACTAAAATTTTTAAAAATTTTAATGGGCCGAAACTGGTTTGGCTCAATGGATAGAGCGTCGGCCTGGGGACTGAAAGGTCCCAGGTTTGATTCTGGTCAAGGGCATGTACCTTGGTTGTGGACACATCCCCAGTAGGGGGTGTGCAAGAGGCAGCTGATCGATGATTCTCTCTCATTAATGTTTCTAACTCTCTATCCCTCTCTCTTCCTCTCTGTAAAAAATCAATGAAAATATATATTTTTTTAAAAAGAAAAAGAATTGTACTCAACAGAACCAATGGGTTGCTGCAAATTTAATTCCTCCTAGCCTCTCAATCTAAGAATATTTTATATTTTAGAGTTCTTCCTTCTCTTTTGCCCTTGGTGTACTCATCTGCCTTTTCCAATAGCTTGTGCTCTTATTCAGCCTTTTTGTTTATCAGTTAATACTGTCAGTGAGATATAAGTAGATATGTGAATTACTATGTATTGTGAGATTCCATTTTTGTTTGATATTAGTGCTTTAGGAAAAAACATACAGAACTTTAATAGAGTATTATTTGGTCTTTTTTATTCAGTGAGTGAAACTAAAAGTTCAGCAGTTCCCTATAAGGAAGATAATAAAGTGCCTTTCGTTCTTTGTTGCTGGCCTCACAAGTTGTCAGTCATGTTTTAATGATGTTTGCCATAGTATTTCCGTCTCGGTTTCACAGCTATGGCTAGGTTGAGGTACCAGTAGAGAAGGACGAGTTTTATACTTTGTGTGTGGTGTTTTTTGGTGTTCTGTTCCTGTTTACACAGGTACATAAGGTTCTTTCCTGATGGCCATGTGATGATGTTGACAACCCCCGAGGAGCCTCAGTCCATTGTTCCTCGTTTAAGAACTCGGAATACCAGGTAGTGTTTTTCTATAGTTTTCTATCCAGGTCACATTTTATATGAATGTATAGGTTAATGTAATCCTGTGTTTCCTTAACTTACTACTGGATGATTTAACAGTCACTGGGTGGGCATTTGTGAAAAAGATAAATTCTGCACCTTTCCCCTGGAGAGTGTACTTCAGTGGGTCGCTGTGGCCTTGGAAACCAGGTTCACTCACATCCTAGCTGATTTCTTCTCGAGCAAGTTCTTAAACACTATTATAATCCATTACTTCCTAGATTACTTAAATACATGTAATAACTGATCAATAGACTTAGATTTAAAGTATATTTTTTATTTTTAGAACTGATGCAGTTCTACTGGGCCATTATCGCTTGTCACAAGATACAGACAATCAGACCAAAGTATTTGCTGTGATAACTAAGAAAAAAGAAGAAGTGAGTATACAAAGTTGAAATAGCAGTTTACTTTTTTTTTTTTTTTTTAATCCTCACCTGAGGATATTTTCCATTGATTTTTAGAGAGAGTGGAAGAGAGAGGGAAAGACAGAGAGAAATATCGATATGAGAGAACACATCGATTGGTTGCCTTCTGCACGTGCCCCAACCAGCTCCTGGGCTAGGAAGGGGCCTGGGCCAGGAAGGAGCCTGCAACCGAGATCCGTGCCCTTGACTGGAATCAAACCTGTGCCCTTGACTGGAATCAAACCTGGTTCCTCTCGGTCTGTAGGTCAGTGCTCTATCTACTGAGCCAAACCAGCTAGGGCTACTTTTGAGTAACCTTTCATTCAAGGATTCTTGACTAGAAAGGGTCAAATATACTGTTTCATTATTTATACTATTATACAAAATGTATGTTGACTTATAGCATCTCTCTAAAGAGAACTGGAGGGTTTTCTAAAATGTGGTTATTTTTAATTGGATCAGCTTGTTTTTCTCCAAATGTTTTTTCTGGTCTAGTTTTTTCACATGTGAAAATGAAAAGCCAAAATATCCTGTAAAATAACTAGTAAAATGATACCTGAATATGATTTTTTTTTTCTTTTTTCATTTTGAATCATAGGGGATTTTCTTCCTAAATTAACTCAAATGAGTAATTCTTTCATAAGGATATTCATATAGAGAATTTCTTTTCTTTTTTTTCTTTTTTTTAATAAATTTTTATTGTTCATGTTATTACAAATGCTCCTCCCCCCCCACCCCCCCTCCATTGCTCTCCTCGATCAGGTTCTCATCCCACCCTCTGCCCTTTCCCCACTCCCCATTGTCCTCATCCATAGGTGCACAGTTTATGTTCAGTCTCTTCCCACATCCCCCTCTCCCCTTTTCCCTAAGAATCATCAGTTCACTCCCCTTCCATACCTCTGATTCTATTATATTCAACAGTTAATATTGTTCCTCAGATTTTTTTTTTAAATTTCCTTGGTTTTTAGATTCACTTGTTGATAGTTACGTATTAGTTGTTCATAATTTTTATCTGTATTTACTTTCTCTCCTGAAAGAACCCCCTTCAGCAATTCATATAATTCTGGTTTGGTGGTGATGAACTCCTTTAGCTTTTTTTTATTAGTGAAGCTCTTTATCTGGCTGTCGATTCTGAGTGATAGCTTTGCTGGGTAGATTATCTTTGCCTGTAGGTTCTTACTATTCATCACCTTGAATATTTCTTGCCATTACCGTCTGGCCTGCATGGTTTCTGTTGAGAAATCAGCTGACAATCATATAGGTGCTCCTTTATAGGTAACTACCTGCTTTGCTCTTGCTGCTTTTAATATTCTTTGTCTTTTGCTCTTGGAATTTTAATTATGATTTGTCTTGGTGTGGTCCTCTTTGGATTCCTTTTGTTTGGGGTTCTGTGCGCTTCCTGGACTTGTAAGTCTAATTCTTTCACCAGGTGGGGGAAGTTTTCTGTCACTATTTCTTTCAGTATGTTTTCGATATCTTGCTCTCTCTCATCTTCTGGGACCCCCATAATTCTGATGTTGGTTCGCTTGAAGTTGTCCCAGAAGTTTCTTACATTATCTTCAATTTTCTGGATTCTCTTGCCTTCTGTCTTCTGTGGAGGAGTGTCTTCTGGCTCTTTATGTTCCAAATCTTTGACTTGATTTTTGCGATCTTCCATTCTATTTTTAGGACTCTGTATAATATTTTTTATTTCAGACAAAGTATTCTTTATTTCTTGTTGATCCCTTATTTCTTGTTGATTCCTTATTAATTCTAGTTGATCCCTTTTCATATCCTCATAGGTCTTATCGACCTTTTCTAGGAAATTCTTGAAAAACCTTATAAGCTTAGATTTGAACTCTATATCCAGTCGCTTTTTGTCTTCCATTTCTTTCGTTTGTGATCTATTTCGTTGTCTCGGCATTTTCGCAGCTTCCCTGATGGGGCGGGGTTTCAGGGTGGAGCCTACAGCCTTGGCTTCTGTCAGCCTTGCCCTATGTGGCTCCTGAGTCTCAGTAATGCCCAGGGTCCTTCAGTACTCGTTGCAAGCACCTCTGAGAAAAAGGTGCCCTCGATTTTCGCCTGCTACCAAACAGTCTAGGCTCTCTCCCAATGAGCCCGGAACTGGGTTCAGTTCAGTTGGAAGTGGAGTTGGAGGTGGCGTTTAGAGCAGTCCGGAGCTTTTGTCTCCTTCCCGCCAGGGCAATCCTGTGGCACAGCCAACCGTCCCTTCTCTGCGAGCAACGTGTGTGCCTCCGGGACCTCCTTTCGCCGCTCCCCCAGGGTTTCACCTTACAGCCCAGCTCCCTATGGATGAGCCTGGATCCCTGGGGTCTGGCCTAGAACTGGGGTTCAGAGCAGTCGGAACTGGGGCTCAGCACAGTCGGAACTTTTATCTCCTTCCCTCTAGGTTACGCCAGCCAGGCACTCAACCGCCCCTCTCCAGCTCCATCCTCTCCGCGCGCACCGCATGTCTCCGTACCTTAGGCTTTTACAGCTCCTCCGCTCTTCCTTCTGGTTTTCTCCTTGCTTCTCGTTGTAGAATTTCCAGTCAGTCGACTTTCCTGTAGTTCTGGGTAATGTCCATTTTATATTTTAGTTGTATTTTATTGAAATTGTTGTGTGCGGCTTCGGCTAGGTGTTTACCTGTGCAGCCATCTTGGATTCTCTCCCCATATAGAGAATTTCAGTTTCTAATGGATATAAGCTAATGTAAGATATTTCCTTCTTCCCATTTTTGCAAAAGAATGAAAATGCCAGGCAAATATGATTGCTGGATTATTACCCTCTAGAGCACATGTGTCAAACACAAGGCCCGCGGGCCAAATCCGTCCCGCCAGGCCTTGCAATGTGGCCCGCACCGCGCTGTCATCACTGCACTCCGCTGCGTTTCCATCACAATGACAGTTTATGACTGTTCAGTAAACCATTCGGCCCGCGATTTAGGCTGGATTTTAGATTTTGGCCCCTTCTCTGATTGAGTTCGACACCCCTACTCTAGAGGGCTTTAAACTCGTAACAGATCAAGGACCTAATTTTCATTTTTACAAATTTTCTCCATGTGCAATTTTTTAGTCATGGTTAAAAATCATAATGCAGTTGTGAGAAAGTAATAATTGCTAGCCTATTGCTTTTGTAAGTTGGTGTAGGATTTGAAAGAAGTTTCCCTTGTTCTGAATCTCCCTTTCTTCTCTAGCATTATGTGTCGAGATAGTTAGGGTAGGGTTCTCTGTGAGTTCTAGTCCTATCACCCTGTGGCTAACTGTCCTGGCTCCTCCTCCTGGCTCTGGTAGGCTTCTGAAATCTGGGGCAGCTTCTGCGGAGCAGAGATAGTCCTGTGACAGTGACCTTGGCCATGTGTTTCCTGGGGTCAGAAATGGGGAATTTGTGAGCCCCTAGTTATTTAGGTTTTATCTAATAAGAATTTAGGAATTCCCATGTAGAAAGCCAATTTTCTCTTTGGAATATAACAATGAAACCATACGTAGCGTTGATACTTTTTTTTAGAAGCAGTATTTTCAGAAGTGTGATTCTAATGAAGCTTGTCACATTTATCCATTGATGATTTTACTGTTATTGCAAAAAAAATAAGTTATACTCAATGCTTTTTCTGCAGGCTTCACCAACTTATTTTCTCTCTCTAAAAATTCCCAAGTGTTTTTAGGTAGAAGGAAATACTAGTCTTTTAAGATAGGAGGTAGAAGTCTTAATTCCATTCTGAAACTGCTGTGTTAACTCAGCTGCCTGGGTCTTCATTCCTTTAGCTATTAAATAGCAATAATGCAGTCATATTTAGTACATGAGGTTATTATGATGATTAGGAGGAAAAAACTTATGTTTTTCAAGACACTCATACTCATTTGTATGTGATATCCAAAACAATTTTACTATGTACAGATGTTACGTTATTCTTGCATAATACAGGGGTAGGCAAAAATAAGTTTACAGTTCATATGGAGAAATATATACAAGAATAATAATAATGCAAGAATAAACTGTGTATCGCATACAACT